ACAAGGACAGCTGTCTAGTCCTTCGGATGAAACGAAAAACCGAGGTCCCGTGTATATATTGGAATGCACGTAAAAGATCCCCTGGCAGTTGGAATTCGATATAAGAGTAGGCGATAGTGCCGCTGCCCGGGCAAAATTTCCCTCAAAGCACACTGAATGGCGTATGCCCGTCTTCATTAGCCCAGTATAGGAGCAGAACAGTAGGACGTTAAACCCCATTTCATTTCATTTCGGAAAATGTTCCCAATTGCAGAACTTGTTTAATCCTGTCCAAGGACAGTAACTATCGATTTTGGTGCATGCCCCGACCACCAGGAGCGGTGCCACACCCACTTTATTGCTAATATTTTGTCTGAAAATACACTACTGGTTGCATTTATTAACAGATTTTGTTTAAATTTGGCATGATAAATAATTTCTATAACAGGGTTGTACCTATTTATATTGAGCCATGTTCAACCCTTAAGGACAGAGTCACGCCCAATTTTAGTGTTTATCGTATTGTCTACAGCCCGCAATTCCGAATGGAGCATCTTGGAATTTGTCATTATTCCTTATTCCATTGATTTTGGTGCATGTCCCGACCCCAAGGGGCACAGCCACTCGCATTTTTAAAAAAATATTTTGTCTGTAAATTTGGCAAAACAAACCCACCGCTTTGCAGCCATTTCTAATTTCATTCTCTTCCTTTTCAAACGTACCTTATCAACCTGAGCAGGAATGTGGACGTATCATGCAGCGTGAGCGTTGCTCTTGCTTTTTAAATAATGTAATTTTAAATAGTCTTTTTGTTACAAAACGTTTTATTTAACATCGAAAAATGATGTTTTGAGATCATTATAAAACTACAAAAATAAAAATAATAATTATTCTGTAGTCCTGAATGGGGTGAAACAGGAAAGCAGAATTATTTATCAGGGCTGGGGTGGGGAATCCAAAATGTATTTTACAGGGACAAGATCCATATCGTTCGAAATTGTTCTTGCTGATCACCTTGCAGATTAGTAAAACATTAATTTCTAGAATATGGGTCTCTAACATAGTATGTAGGATGCCAAACTGCTTTGGGGGTCGTGCTGTATTTGTGTGTGCGCGTGTGGGTGGGTGGGGATCTGAAATTGGCGGGGAATGTGATAATAATAAATGATGATCATCGTTTTTGAAACACGGATAGTCGAATAAACTTTTAAGTTAAAACTCTACAGGGATGTGCTCGGATTTACTACTGATACATTGCTGGGATAGTTTGAATTTCGTCTAAAAAGTTTTATGACATGTACCAATACATTTTTAGCTGGAATTATTAAATCCGATCTATGTACATTTTGCAAAGAATAAACAGCTTCATTAAAGAAACATTTGAACATTAAAATATTAAGTCTGTGTAGGCTATACACTCAAAAGAAAATAATGGTATCAGTCATTATCGCATAATATGTGATAGAACTAGGGCCGGTTCCTCAAAACTAAGCTATTTTAACGATTAGTTAAAGTCTAACACATCGTCATCTTAAAGTCAATGATGGGGAAATCTTTAGTGATCTATGGCCTGTCTGTGTGTCACAAGGGTGTGACTGATATGCATATGAAGAATATATTATCAGAAAATATGTATAAAATACTTTGACTTCAGAAAAACTAAAAAAAAGTTAATTTAAAAAAAAAAAAAAAAAAAAAAATCAAAGTTTGGAGAAAAATTGTGATTTTACTGCAAATTTCTCAATTTTCAGTTTTTATTTATTTTCTAACAGTAAGATTAAGAAAAAAATATTTTAATGCTCAATTTTGCCATATTCAGCCCCAGAAAGCACAGATAAAGCGAACAGTATTGTAATTTCACCAAATTTTGTCTAAAAATCAGGAATATTCATAGAAAATCTCCAAATTCTCCCATTTCGATGTAAAAATTATTACTTTCATGACTACTCAAATGAGTTAAAATGTCTAAAAATGCCCTTATTTTCATTGTTATTATAGCTTAGATGGGATCTATAAGTTTGTCAGGTTTAAAAATAGCTCCAGCTTTCCCACAGAAAATTGAAAAAAATTGGTAATACTGAGTTAACACAGCAGATGGGTTTGTACCAAATGTTCAAAACAGGGGTTGGCTCAATTTTGCCACTATTTTACCCAGAACAAGCATTTTTTCTTTACTTTTTTGAAACATTAAATTCTTGCATTTACTTTATGTATAAATCAATATTCCAATCTTTCTAGACATTTTTCACTCCGTCATTCGGTTAAGAGAGGCTATAAATGCCCCACCCCACCCTTTTTTTTATTAATGTGTTTTGAGAGATTTAATTGCACCTGTGTTGAAAATTAAATGATAGTAATTGGAATTTATGGTTGAATTACAGCTCGGAATGTTATTTTTCACCAATAAATAGTTATTTTGTTCATTTCAAGGATTTCTAGCCTTTTTTGTTTAAAGTCAAACTTAGAACCCTGGGACATGTCAGGCCAATGAGACCACATCCTGATACAAAATTGGTGTAGGTGTGTAAATGCCAGCTTAATGTTCAATATTTTCTTATCAAAATCTAGAATGTGTGGTGTTTGTTGCATGTATGTTACTTACAGAACAGTAAAATGTTAATTTTGCTCTTTTCAGGCCTCCTTTATGTTGTCTACTCCATCATAACTACTTTTTTGACTTCATTTTTTCAGGAAATTTGTGTAAAGGTCCAGACATCTTGCTTCAGCACAAGATTGCAATAAAGATTTGTATGATGCCTCTGAGGTTTGAGATGTTGAAAACGTTGAAATATTTCCAAATTTGTGAAAGTTGTGTATTCCGTGACTCTTTTAAAAAAGAGGGGTGGTCATAGACCAAATATGGCATTTTTTCTTTCATCAAGGCCTATTTTTAACCATAACTCATGTTTATTGCACATATTTTAGTTTATATGTACAAATGTTAGCCAGGGATGGTAAAACATAGCTATTAGACAGATTTATTTGGCAATATTAGTTTTGCAACCAAAAATTAGATTGATTAAGTCAGTGACATGTTTAGGGGGTGGGGATACACGTTTCAGTATAGATCTCTAATATTACAATCAATGCAATTGATTTGTGATATTTCTGTTTGCATATTGTCCAGGGTTTCTAAAAATGTGTTCCTTGCCAGTCTGGCTATCCAAAAAAGTGGAAAATTATTGGTTTTTTGAAAGATTCTACATGTAAGTTTTGTACATTTGTCATGACATGGCAGTAAGAAATTATATTTTTGAAACAAAACTCCAGATTATGAGTGTTTTCTGTGTAATTTGTTTGTAACTTGTCATATTTTTTCACAGAACTCAAATACTGCATTTAATAAGAAAGAGTTTTACATTTTAACACAAAAGGCCCATGGACCTGAGATGCACCCCTTTACATGAAGCAGCATGTATATTTAAAGGGCCATCATTTTTGCAGTTATTCTTTGATTTTGACTTTTTTTCACTGATATGTTGCCAGAACATATGAGAAGCATATAAAAAAGGCCTTTTGGTGATACCTGAAGTTTCACCCCTATATAGGACACAGATCACCAAATATTTCTACGCCGTCACCCACGAAACAAGGGCCAAAGTTATGTTTAGTCTTTTTCTCCCGTTCCCCTTTCCCCCCTTTTGCATCGCGATTTTTGTTGACTTTTTGGCGTAGAATTGAAGAAATACATTTAATGCCAGTTTTTTGTGAATATTCATGATTTTGAGGCGGAAGGATACAAGAGTTGAGAGGTTGATTCGGTTGAAATGTAGGGCCGAAAATTGCCTGTTTACTTGTTACTTGTCTCTACTTCCAGTTTGTGTATCACAAGTTTTTCATGGTGAACCTCATACATGCTTAAGGGCAGGAGTGTGCCACATGTTGCTCCGTTTGTGGCAGAAAGCATTCTACCCAACGAAAATTTGGGAAAAAGCTAAAGCCGGTCTAAGAGACGAGAATTAACATTAAAGTCAATGGGGAAATCGATCTGTGGCCTGTCTACATTTGGAACGTGTTTAACCATACGTTTTGATTGGTCAAATAGACACTGTCGATTGGACAATAACAACCCTCTGTTTTAGCAAGGCGAATAACTGCGTATAAATAGTACTTGTTTTTCACTTTTCCGCTCAATGATCTTTATTGACAGATATCTCCAATAAATTCTGCTCAAATGACCATCAAGCTATTTTTAACCTGAAGTACATAAAACAGTAATATATGAGTCATAAATTAATTACAACCCATTTCAGGCAGATCTATCCTAAACTATTCGTAACTAGACAGTGTAGACAATTTTGTTTTCATTTTTGGTAGGGGGGTTGGATGGCTGAATGGTTAGCGTGCGCGCGCTGTATCGTAAAGTCTGTCATTGAGTCGACTGGCGTGGTTTCGAATCCCCGGTTGTGCGTGGCATGGAGTAGGGTCGCCTGTCCAACCTCGTGGGTTTTCTCCGGGTCCTCCGGTTTCCTCCCACTGCTAAAGACCCCTACGCGCAAGCGAATTATGTAAATAAAATTGAACCATATGTTAGTCCCGAAATGACCTAGTTTGTGTCGAGTGGACGTTAAACCCCAGTCCTCTCTCTCTCTCTCTCTCATTTTTGGTAAGCTACATCCGCTCAGCAATGTTTACTTAGCTTTGAACACACTTTTAAATGACCTTAACGTTTTTGATGTCGAAAAGTCGCATATAGTCTCTACTTTCGATTTACGGTTTCCATGGATATCAGACAAACCACGGTCTATAGCGCAAAAGTGAAACGTAGGTTTCTTGGAATTGCATTTAGCATTATTCATGCCCAATTTGTTGAGAATCCATGCAGGCATAACAGAAAAATCCGAGACAAGGTTTGGAATAGTTGGTAGATAACAACATATGTCATATCTTATATAAACAAAACTTACAGTGCATTTAAAAGTACTCAACGCTCTAAAGTTATCAAAAAGTTTAATATTTTTTGGTCGATGTGTGACGTCAAATTAGCTCGTGATAAGTAATATTATTTACCGATGTGTGAGGTAAAATTAGCTCGTGACAAGAAGGACAGTGCAATATAGTCGAACCAACCATCTCATAAACCTTGAATAGGATATTTTTTATTTGAAAACTGAAAATAATGTCGATATGCAGAGGTATCTTAAGCTTAAGGTAAGAATTAAAGTTATACATATTAATCCTTGTGCAAACACGTCGCACGAAAAACCTTGTTGGCAACAAGGGGTAATCGAAGACCCCAGACATAACATAAAAATAATAACAGTGAAGGTGTACGTTTCCAATAGTGTAATACTTTTAGTTTCTTATCAAATGGTGAATACCCCTTGTATCAGCACGCACAAGAATTAAAGCCACCTATGTAAATTTTCCATAAACGGACTATATAAAATGTCCATTCTGCACTGGATGCCACATGAGAGTTTGTCATACAATGAAGGGAAAGGAATGGGGTTTAACGCCTCGTCAACACAAAACCTTTGTTTCTAGTATCACGCGAGCAAGGAGAATCTTGAACCCGCCAACCCTTCGTCTATCCTAAACTGTCTAAGGTTCTTTAATATGCACGCTCATGTGTAGCCTACATGAGTGGATTGTGATATGTAACACCACGAGTCTTTTTTTTTTGGTTCCTTTTCCCTTTGTGTATTCTCTTCTTCTTATTCATATAGTTTTAAGACGTTTGTCTTATCAGAAATAACAATGCAACAGTTCGTTTTTACATTTTATAGATCAAGCTGCTTACATATGGTACAATGCATAATAGATTACAATAAAGTCATTCTCCCAATCCCAATCAGAGAAATCATGGTCTTGTACCATTGGTGTTTTGGACCTTAAATTGGTCAAATATGACGTAATTAATTATAGTGATTGGTTAATTTGCCTAATGTCGTCGAAAACCACCATTATATATTGATAGTGGTAACTTACATCAGAAGTTTCACACGTGTTATTTTGTTATCAACCTTGAATTGTATGTTTACCAAATTATAACTCTGTTTAAGTATCAACTTATCAATCATTCATTCATTTGGATTTAAGTGCATATGAGACAGTATGCCTTCTATGCAAAATGTGAATCTAACAATTAGCCTAAGATATTAATTAATACAATGCTACTAATTTAAAGAGCAAAAATTCTACCAATCATGCTACACATATTTTTCGTCATAACGTTTACCTTTATTTGGAGACCATTTTGTAAAACCAGTTCATATTCTAATAGTTTCTTTCCCTGCACAATTAAACTTTGGAACAACTTACCTAAAAATATTTAAACCGCACAAACGTTATGTACATTCAAATTGGGCCTTTCACGTGTGTACTCAGTAACAGATGCGGAAATCACTTATGCAGTTGTATGAAAAATATACTATAGTGTATAGACTTGTGCGGTGGTTGTTACGGAATTCCACAAGTAGGGTGACCCACCATAAATAAATATCTCCAAATATCTCGACAATTACGCCACAATATTTATATATATGCTAAGCCTCAAATCAGTTTCACACAATTATAGTCACTAAATAAACGATCATGTTGTATTTAATAAGCTATGACCATTAATCATCTATAAATAATAGTAGGGTGACCCACCATAAATAAATATCTCCAAATATCTCGACAATTACGCCACAATATTTATATATATGCCAAGCCTCAAATCAGTTTCACACAATTATAGTCACTAAATAAACGATCATGTTGTACTTAATAAGCTATGACCATTAATCATCTAGAAATAATAGACTGAAAACTGGTTCCAAGTTGCGTCCATAACATCCAGACACTTTTGAGTAAAAGATAGGTTACGTGCCCTTGTTTTGAAGTTAGTCTCGCTTAACCAGTCTATCGACCATTCTACGTCTGATTGACAGGTCGGGATAATCAAGACTACTTTTTTACGAAACATAACAGAAAGCTAGAACAAGAAATTGAATTTAGAAATAAGCACTTTAGACAACTCAACAATTGTTTTAAGAAACTTGTAAAAGTAAAATGAAACTACTGCTAGTATCATGTTCCTGCTAAAGAAAGTGATTTAGAGATAGTATTTGTACTAAACCAAAAGATGCGGCTCTTAACGGTACAGTTAATGATAAAGCAATTTAAAAAATAAAACAAACGTAATTACTAAAGCTGCTGTAATAACCAAGAAGCTAAATTTTACTGCTATTCAAAATCGTCATCAATAGATTTTTTACGGCTGTAATAGTTGATATATTTGTAGAGAATTGCACGTGCCATGGCTATTTATCGACTCAAAGCGAGTGCGGGGTAGTCAGAAATCAGTTCGAGACACGCAACTGAAGCGTGCACATTTAGCCGTGTCGAGACCAACTTTCTGTAAAGTGCACGGGTCATCCTAATAATAGACTGAAAACTGGTTCCAAGTGTCGTCCATAACATCCAGACACTTTTGAGTAAAAGATAGGTTACGTGCCCTTGTTTTGAAATTAGTCTCGCTTAACCAGTCTATCGACCATTCTACGTCTGATTGACAGGTCGGGATAATCAAGACTACTTTTTTACGAAACATAACAGAAAGCTAGAACAAGAAATTGAATTTAGAATTAAGCACTTTAGACAACTCAACAATTGTTTTAAGAAACTTGTAAAAGTAAAATGAAACTACTGCTAGTATCATGTTCCTGTCTAACCCGAGTGTTTCAGAGATATTATTTGTACTAAACCAAAAGATGCCGCTCTTAACGGTACAGTTAATGATAAAGCAATTTAAAAAATAAAACAAACGTAATTTCTAAAGCTGCTGTAATAACCAAGAAGCTAAATTTTACTGCTATTCAAAATCGTCAACAATAGATTTTTTACGGCTGTAATAGTTAATATATTTGTAGAGAATTGCACGTGCCATGGCTATTTATCGACTCAAAGAGAGTGCGGGGTAGTCAGAAATCAGTTCGAGACACGCAACTGAAGCGTGCACATTTAGCCGTGTCGAGACCAACTTTCTGTAGACTGCACGGGTCACCCTACCACAAGATAGTCCGGTGGATTCACCTCCGAAGCTTGTTTTTTTCTAGACGGGTTTTTATGGATGAGGAGAGAGAGAGAAACATCGGGTTTAACACGTGACATTGGTCATTATGTGGACTAAAATTAACGACGGATTGCAGCCTACTTGTTTTACTTTAGTTTGGGCCAAGCATGGTTGCTTGTGTAATGTTTGTTCTGAATAAATCAAACTTATAACATGAATTATCACGTTGTTACTGATATAAGTTATAACATAGTGGCAGAGGTAAACTTCTAGATGCCTCCTGTGTACGTTTATTGAACTGCCACCGCGTAACAATTGACAATATTGCCGTAAAATAGATGTTACTACACGTGAGATTTGGGCGAGTCTGGCTGTGCTTTCCTTCCTGGTGTTGAAAATTGCCACAACGCCCAACGATAAGATAGTGATGAATTGAGACACCGACGATCGTTAGTCGGAGTTTTGAATTGTTGCGACAGAAATTTGAGATGTATTTCCGTGTAAAGGAAATTGAATCGTACAAGCAGGTTTCTGAAATTTTACTGACCTTGGTGATGAATTTCAGATTTGTTTTAATGCCGGACCAAAACACGGGACATGGTGAATCAGAGACTAATGATGAATTTGCGTTACGTTGACAGCATCAATCAGCAAAATGTAAATTTACAACTGAAGAAGATGTTGAGGACGTGTTATTAAACACATTCTCGGAACCAAAATGCCAAAAAGGAGCTATTAAACCAGATTTAACTAACCGTGACAGACGCTATAAAGGGGGTTCGAATACACGAATCCAATATCAGTTTTATGATGAAACTGTCAAGTTATAAAGGTCACGAGGTGTAAACAGGGCTAGCCCTAAGTCTTACCCTAACCCACAATTCTCGGCAACAATCACGTGCCCTAACCCTATTTACATCTCGTGACCTTGAGGAAATCTGCAGTTGACCTTGGTAAATAGATCTGGCCACAGTCATCTGAGTCAATCAACTCTCACAACTGAAGTAGATACTGGTTCAGACTCCTCTTACACCATCCAAACGAATGGTCCCTGATACTAGAGACTTTTGCCAAGCTTAAATTCCTGGCCCGTATCGCGTATCCGTATTGATTTTGCGTGTGACGTCATCAATGCGTGTGTATTTCTCATACGTGATACGACACACGGATACGGCAGCTCGCATCCTATAGCTTTAATACGGAAAAGGTCCGGATAACACTGTTGTCTTTTTACCGTCGTTTTTGCTACTTTTAGACGCTGAAATGTTATATCATAGCGTTTTTATGAATCTATGTGTATCCTAGAACAAGAATGTGTATATTTGATGTGATTTTATTTTTAACCATGGCAAAGACTGGAATTTAATCATTACTTTTGATGAGATTTTCGCGGAATTTTCATATTTTTCCTGTCTGTCTGTCTGTCTGTCTGTCTGCATGCTGGTTGATATGGGACCTTGAAAATCTGTAAAAGGGGTATAAACTTTCTGAAATGATACATTAGTGAAACTAAAAATTGCTGTCGAGTCGAAGTCGGAAGCGAATTATTGAAATAAAATTAAACCATATGTTAGTCCAGAAATGACCTAGTTTGTGTCGAGTGGACGTTAAAACCCATTTCTCTCTCTCTTTCTCTCTCTGGATGTTTCTGAAATTTTAAATAGCTCAGCGACTGTCGAGCGACTTTACTCCTTTCAGGTATTTGTAGGCTAGTCAATAACTGCTATCATGCTGTAATAGAACTCAGCTCAGCTCAGCTAGCTATACGTACGAGGCGCGAAAATTCTGCCAAAACTCTAAAAACTACATTGACACAACGTATAACGTGATGATACGGATACGTCATACGGATGGGAAAATTCCACTTGCCAAAAGTCTCTACTGTTAGATTGCAATACGTGACTTGGTTAGTCAATCAGCGCCATATTCATCGAGCAACCCACTTCACCAAAAGAGCAGACAGGTTTTAGTATTTTCTTATAGACGGTAATTATTAAAGTTACATTATGCAAGAGCTAAATCTGTCTATTGCAGGTCCTTCTTTATGCCTAGATAATTTTATCTAAATTATTAATTATAGACATTAATTGACTATCCACGCCATAATCCACTCTCGATGTAATCGCTGCGATGTTTATTGAATTAGGTTCCGATTTGCTGTTCAATTTCCATTTATGATTTATTCATGAAATGGATAATCGAGACTATGTTTTTTTATCGTACGAACTTTAGTAATGATGATCGCGGCCAGGCCGAAAATTCAATTGCTAAAATCTCGGTTCAGAGGGGATCATTTTCCGCAAATTCCCATTTAATTATTATAGTAAGAACTGTCAGCTCTTTACCTAATCTCCCATAATGTATCTTCAATATATTAATCTTTAAATGGCATTTAGTAACTGAATAGAGTACAAACAAAAACACTTATGGAAAATATATTAATAGCATATCCCGATCCACTACTTTACCTTTGTTTTATTTTTAGATTGAAAGGACCCATAAACTTGATTTCAAGATGGATGTCCTACAACGTAATGCATCCGGGTAGACATGGTGAATCTTACGGCGATGTTCAGATCAAAAATAAAAATATATGTGATCACTCTAAAGAAGGAATACTTAAAATAGTTGGTTAGTTAAACTGAATTTTATTTATAATACAGCATAACGTCGTTAAAATTTTAACTTTAAGGTCACCTATATTTTATTCGAGAAAATCAAAATTCAAATACTTATGGTGGCTGAAAGCGTCCATTTAGATCGGCGTGTTTCTAGATACAACGCGAGAGTCGCCGTTAAGCCAGCACGAGGAAAAGGGCGCCGATCGGCGACTTTTTCGTCGTACTGGCTTAACGGCGACCCGCGACTTTCACAACACGAGAGTCGCCGTTAAGCCACGCGACGAAAAAGTCGCCGAAAATATCGACGACTTTTTCGACGACTTTTTCGTCGCTCTGGCTTAACGGCGACTCTCGCCTCGGGAGTTTATAGTTAGTTACATGCGCAATGGCTACATTTTACTACTTGTATGTAAAATTAGAATGGAGGAGATTTTGGATGAGTTTAGGCTGTCGAGCTATATCAACATTTTCAGTGACACTAGGGCAAATTAAAATTTATGAGTGTTACAGACACTTGTACTTTCAAAACCTGTTTAGTTACACTGGAATTCGATTTAAAATGTACACGTCTTTATATCACTAAATATTTCCCCATTGATTTTAATGTTAATTCTCGTATCTTAGACCGGACCTAACTTTTCCCCAAATTTTCGTTGGGTAAAACGCTTTCTGCCACAGATGGAGCAACATGTGGCAAACTCTTGCACAAAAGCATGTATGAGGTTCACCATGAAAAAATTGAGATACACAAGCTGGAAGTAGAGACAAGTAAACATGCAATTTTCGGCCCTACATTTCAACCTAACCAACCTCTCAAAATCATGAATATTCACCAAAACCTGACAGAAAATGTATTTTTAAACCCTTTTCTTCGACTCTACACAAAAAAAGTCAACAAAAATCGCCATGCAAAAGGGGGAAAAGTGAAAGGGAGAGAAAGACTAAAAATAACTTTCGCCCTACTTTCGTGGGTGACGGCGTAGAAATATCTGGTGATCTGTGTCCATATACAAGAAGTAAAATGTAGCCATTGCGCATGTAACTAACATAAACTTCCGAGGCGAGAGTCGCCGTTAAGCTAGTCCGACGAAAAAGTCGCCGATCGGCGCACTTTTCGTCGTACTGGCTTAACGGCGACTCTCGTGTTGTATCTAGAAACACGCCGATCTAAATGGAAGCTTTCAGCCACCAAATATTCCATGTTTGCACAATTGTTCTGAGTGTCTGTGAGAATATAGCTCTTTCAATAAAATTATTCATCGTGGAGTTATTGCTGTTGACTTTGCGTATTGTCAACCGTTACTCTCCGATTTTGATAGTATGTGGAGTTTTATAATATCATGTGATATGGACGCCATTCTTTTAAAAAATACTATTAAAACATTTCAGGCAATCTAATTAGCAAACCTCATCCAGAAAATGAACCATTTACTGTAGCCGAATATGGTGCTGCGGATGGATCGATTTCAATGGAACTAATGACTGATATAATCTGTAAGTATATTGATGTGGCAAACTCATTTAAAGTTATCTGTGAAAGACCTGTACAAAGTCGATGGTTTTCATTCTTATTTCAACATAGTCCCTTCGAGGTGTATACACTTTTTCCAACGATGTTGCAAGGCCAGGAAGAAATTCTCTTCAGATGCTCTAAAAAGTCCTTCACAGCTGACATGACGTCATCATTCCATGGCTTAGACTGAATTTATGATTCTGGTAGAAACTGATGAATCCAGGTCTCATCAATGGTTACAACTCTGGCCAAAAAATTATCAGGATCTGCTTCAAAACGGCGCAGATTGTCACGGCATGTCAGGAATTTGACACGTTTCTGATCCCCAGTCAAAAGCCTTGGCATTCATCTTGTAGACACTTTTGTCATTCCTAACTCGTTGTCGACAACCCTCTCGTGTGAGTTGCCCCAAAACAATGGCAATATTTCGAGTTGTCAAACGTCGTTCAGCCGTCACCATGTCATGTATCCGGGTTATTTTTTCTTGAAGCTTTCTCTCTGCCACACTTAAATTCCACAGCCCAAATCTTACTGTAAAAAAAGGAAGGGGCGTCATCCCCTAATGTGGAAACCATGTCGTTGTTCGACGAGAAAATTCACCGGGATTTTCCAGCGTAGTTTCTACTTGTCAGTGGTGCAGGGTGTGGGGGGAGGCTGATAAGTGAGACGAAAACCGAGGTCCAGCGTAGTTTCTACTTGTCAGTGGTGCAGGGTGTGGGGGGGGGGGGGCTGATAAGTGAGACGAAAACCGAGGTCCCGTGTACATGTTGGCGTGCACGCAAAAGAACCCATTTATTTGCACCTTTGTTTATCAAAAAGCAGAAAAAAATTACAAACCTAATCCAATATCAATCCTGCCTGATCTGCCCATTCATCCACCCGGACTACCCATATATTTCAATTCTTACCGCATGTTTTATCTGCGACCCTTATCTAGTACTATTACTTGCCACCTGTATATTTTATTTACTACTCATATATTTCACTTTCAACTACGTGTTTATTTGCCACCCGTATATTTCAATTTAATGCCCAAATATTTCATTTCAAACGGATTACTTATTTGCCACCCGTATATTTCACTTGCTATCCATACATTTCATTTCCACCGGACCCATGTGTCTTATTTTCCATCCGTATATTTTATTAACCCCATATGGGTCATTATCAAAATTGGTAGAAATTGCAAATCACAAATGACCAAATTTCAAATAATTTTAATTGTTTATTTTTTATATTTATTTGATAAAGTATAGTTCAAAGTGTCTGTTATGAATAAAGTTCACAGAATTAAAAAATTTTGTCAGCTTTTATCGGTCACCAATAGGAAACATGAAATTTCCCATAACGATTACTAATTTTCTTGAAAATATGTGAATATTCCATAAAATCATTTTTTTAAAAGCATATTAGTTCTAATGATTGGTCATTCAGGCATACTAAAGCGTATTTCCTCATTTTGTGTACTTTTTAAAAAGATGAATGTACGTTTAGTTACCTAGTGTCTGTATGTGTACTCGGACAATAATTTCGTCATGCTCTGTAGAGAGGCATAAATGAATCCATGAAGATAAGTAGAAAAACTGAAGATATGGGCTTGCTATCATTTTTACTGCTTGTTTATTCGCAGTGTTACAGGGTTGACATATAGGTATCTTTGTTTGAAAGAAAGCTGGAAATACTCTGTCAAGAAATATATTTCCACGAATTACATATAACAACTTTTGGTCTTCGAAGGAATTATTAGTGGGCAGAAATTCGCCCATGTATCTGTTATCAGATATTATGTAATTATGCTTGTATTACAGAACGTTTAATTGTGTGTTACGCATGCGTGCCATTCAAAAGGATATGAAATTATTTGTAATCAGGCCCAGGGCTCCGCTTCGGTTAAGCTGGGCTATGGTTATTCTTTGTTTACTTTTTCACTTTTAGGGTTCTCATAATATTATACTTTTACACATCTGTAATTGAGATTGCAGGATTCAGATGGAATTATATCTTAGGCTATTCCAACCTCGCGACTAGAAAAAAATTAAAGTGTGTGTGAGCAAAGCCAAAGAGGATGACATCCCCAGGTTTTAGTATACCAAGCCCATGGTTAAATCCGACACTGCTTGGAAAGATTAAAATGTAATTATTATTTTCAAAAATTACTTTCACACCACTTCGCTTGGCTGATCATGTATACATATAAACATAAAGGGTATCCGAATCCGTATCCTGTTTTGAAAATATTTTTAAATTTTCTGTCATATATTATCGTTGCTCAATAAATGTTCAATTTTATGTACAGAGTCATAATGCATACGTTAAGATTAAAATTCTTTATTTATAAAAACGCGAAGAGGGGGGGGGGGGGGGCTATATTTGCAGTTACCAAGCTTCAGTGAGCTAGAATAAATGTACTTACTACTTCGTTCGGCACGACTGCGTGCTTTAATGTCCTATATCGGCGGAATGTACAGTAAATAGAAGTGCAATTTGTATGAAATCAACGATAAATAATAATTTCTATAAACGATTAATACATCGTTATAACATATCAGTGCACGTAATTCATTCTTGAAATCAACGTTCCGGAAAATCACATTTATGGTATTCCCGAACAATGATTAACTCAATGATTAGGCTAATCAAAGTTTATAAAATGTTAATTTGAAATTTAATCAACTTTTCCAGAATATGACTTAAAAAATCTTGAGATTAAATCTCAGATTAGCACTAATCCACTTTCAAAATATGGGACTTTAAGTCTAAATAAAGCGCCCACAATGAATGTCTAAACGGGGGATGTGTAGATGGGCATATCAGTAATTAGGAAACCAGTAAGAGAAACATACGGATGTACCGACATTGGAAGTTACTTATGCGGAACCATTTTCTGTAGGTGGCCATATATAGGGTGGCCCGTGCACTGGCGTGCAGTAACAATTTTCCCTAAAGAAAGTTGGATTCGACACGGCGAATGTGCACGCTTCAGTGACTTGTCTCGAAGTGAATTCTGGCTAACCACACAGTATGATAATACTCAGCGCTAGAGTCTATGAGACTATAAATTGCCATTACACGATTCTCTACACATCTATCAACTATTACAGCCGTAAAAAATCAATTGTTGACGATTCTGAATAGCAGTAATATTTAGCTTTTTGGTTATTAAAACAGCTTTAGAAATTACGTTCGTTTTATTTTTTTTAAATTGCTTTATCATTAACTGTACCGCTAGGAGAGCATATTTTGGTTTAGTACAAATAATATCTCTGAAACCCTTGCGTTAGGCAAGAACATGATACTAGCAGTAGTTTCTTTTTACTTTTACACGGTTCTTAAAACAATTGTTGGGTTACCTAACGTGCGTGTTTCTAAATTCATGTACTTGTTCCAGCTTTCTGTTATGTTCCGTGAAAAAATAGTCATGATTATCCCGGCGCGTAACCTATTTTTTACTCACAAGTGCCCGGATGTTATGGCCGACACTAGTAACCATCTTTCGGTGTATTATTTAGGAGATAAACACCTCCTGTTTCGCATTTAGAGGGGTGTTATTGTCCAATAGACATGTCCTGAGATCATTAGGACCCAAGACGCGTTCAAGGATCAAAATTGAGTGTCTCCATTGTGGTTATCCCCATTAAAGTAGTACGCATAATATTAATAATACGCAGTGATTTTTCTAATTTAGAGGGGTGTTATTGTCCAATAGACAGTGTCTAATCGACCAATCAAAACGCACGATTCACCCGTAAGCATGTTACAATTTTGGATGGTTAAATGGTAATAGCTTATTAAGTACAACATGACCGTTTATTTAGTGACTATAAATATGCGAAACTGATTTAAGTCTTGGGATATATATATTTTAGGGAAAAAAACTTGGTTTTTGCGAGTACTTTCCGCTTTATTAAGCTTCTTCAGGCAAATTTTACCAATTCCAACAATTGATGTGACGTAATAACGTCATGGTTACAACAATGAACTATAATGGCTATAATAAGCACGATAAGATAATATTGCATACATTATGTATCATTAACAAAATTATTAATTAAACATTTATATTTTACACAACTGTTCCAGGGCAATCTAAAGAAATAATTGGCATAAGGACAAAATTAGCTGTACACAAATTCACGGCACAAATTGGAAGCATGGAATTAAACGCTGAATGTTTCCAGAATAGATGTGCCAATACAGATAATGCTATAATGCAGTTATTTCTAGAAAAGGCCCTAGATGGAGAGACTCTCGAAGAATTGGAGCTCGAATGGAAACGGGAATGTAAAGAATGCGACGCGAAAGTTCTAAGACAGTGGGAAAAGGATCATGAATGGTTAGATAACTATCACTCCAAGTATGGAGATGAAATATTCAAACTAGAGAACGGGAGGGAGAGTGATATCGATTCATCCGACGGTGAAAGTGCTGATTGGCCAAAACAGGCACAACCAAAAGGACCGAAACGAAAACCCCAACCGTCCAAATCTAGACAAAGTAACCCGAGAGAGCCTAACGATATTAATAGATCTAACCAAACTCAGACTCGTAGAGATTCGTCGGCCCAAACCAACACCCCAATATGGCACCAAGTCCCACCTAGAAGACAAAATCGGAAAATTGAATCAGAAACTTCCAACAAACCTATCCGATCAAACGAAGAAAACCGTTTTTTAGACAGGGGCCAGTCCAGAAATCGGAGCCGATGGAAAAGGAACCCAAAACAATAAATCCAATAGTAATAAATACCAGTGGCATTGAACTCTGTAGGAATGATATTCTATTATTTGATAAGGGACTAAAATTCACCCCAACACCTTCAAATGATAGCTGCTTACTCCAGTCTGAACTAACACAATTTTGTAGAAAACTGCGCCTCAGACATCATTTCTACAGAGAGGATGATTCTCGACCCCCAGAACCCGAAAGCCTGGCTCGAAACAAATCTACTTTTACACCAAAATCAGGAAAAGATGTACAGTTAGATAAATTTATAACAACTATAGCCACTCATAAAATTCAATCAAAACCTACCATTAAAAATCTAAATAAAGGTGAATTGAAAGCTCTCAATAATCTGAGAAATAACCAAAACATAATTATCAAACAAGCAGATAAAGGAGGAGCTATAGTCGTTATGGATAAGTCATTCTATCAAGAAAATATATTCAAAATGCTCCAAAACACGGAATATTATGCGCCATCAACCATCAAAGAAAACAACAACGTCATAGTAAATATGAGAACATTTGTGTCTTGCTACACTGGAATGCTGTTAAAGGAGGAACAAGAATATCTTATGAACTTCGATCCAAGCATTGCATACTTTTATGGATTGCCGAAAGTACACAAAAGTAGGCTAATTCAAGATGCTGTAAGACGAACTAATCATAAAGTTGTAAATATAAAATGTCCAGGTGACCTAACGTTCAGGCCAATAGTAGGCGGACCAAATAGTAGTACCCAAAGACTTAGCAACTTCACTGATATCATTCTGAAACCACTATGTTCTAAAGTCAAAAGCTTTCTCCGCGATGATATAGATTTCCTTCATCATTTACCTAAGCAGGTAGAACCTGGTAGTACATTAATAAGCTTTGATGAAGTAAATCTATATAATAACATCAGTAAAGATCTGGGAATAAAAGCTATCGAATATTGGATAGATACATACCCCGATAGTATCCCAGATAGTTTTTCTAAACGATTTATAATTGGCGCTCTAAATTTAGTAATTTCAAATAACATATTTTTCTTCGATACCCATTATTTCTCACAAATTAAAGGAGTTGCTATGGGTACAAAAGTTGGTCCGACATACGCAACATTAACATTAGGTTACCTCGAAGAAATTTGGTATGAGAAAATACCCACAACCTTCGATAAAACTTTTAGCGACATGATTAAGCAATCGTGGAAACGATTTCTGGATGATTGTTGGTGCGTCCTTAATATAGAAGATACAGCGATCACCAAACTCCACGATCTCTTGAATAGCCTAGATGTCGATATTAAATTCACTGTTGAATCTAGTAAAGTAAAACTAAACTTTCTCGATGTCACGGTGAACCTTTTACCGAATGGTCAAATTGAAACTGATATGTATTATAAACCGACAGACACACATCAGTATCTCAATTTTAATTCATGCCATCCTTCTCATATCAAACGTAATATTCCGTATAATTTAGCTAGACGCGTGTGCACCATAGTTTCACAATCGGATATCAAACAAATACGCCTTAATGAGCTTAAAGGTTTTCTAAAAAAGCAACACTACCCGGCAAAGCTAGTAGATGATGCCATCCGAAAAGCTTTAAGTTTAGATCAGAGCAAATTAAGGTGTCCAAAAACGATTTGTGAAACAAAGAGTCACGAAGAAGTTTCTTTAGTAACTACTTTCAACCCATCACAAGAAGATGGTAAATCTATAATTAATAATAATCTCCATATTCTTAAAAATAGCCCGATTATGGATGATATATTAAATAAGGCAAAAATAATAAATAGTTTAAAGCAACCTCAAAGCCTGGCTAAATTACTAATCTCATCAAAATTCGAATCAACTAAAATCATACCCACAGTTAACAAGTGTAATGAATCCAAATGTAAAACGTGTTCAATCATAATTGAAGGTTCATCCATAAATATCACGGACAATTTTACATTTCATGTAAAACAACCAATGTCTTGTAAATCCGATTACATTATATATGTAATAATTTTTCCGGGCTGTAAGGGTAGATATATCGGAAAGACCATAAATATGCTTAGATTAAGAATGAACCTCCATCGACAACATATTCTTAATCCGCTATACAGGATGATACCCCTGAGCCGACACCTCGATGTTTGTGGCAAATGCAATTTTAATGTCTTTCCGTTATATCAATTAAACAGCAAAAACAACGATCTATTAGAAGCAAAGGAATCATATTTTATTGAAAAATTCAAACCATTGCTTAATTCAAGGTGTTGATTTTTGTTATATTAACATTGTAGTTGTGTAAAATATAAATGTTTAATTAATAATTTTGTTAATGATACATAATGTATGCAATATTATCTTATCGTGCTTATTATAGCCATTATAGTTCATTGTTGTAACCATGACGTTATTACGTCACATCAATTGTTGGAATTGGTAAAATTTGCCTGAAGAAGCTTTATAAAGCGGAAAGTACTCGCAAAAACCAAGTTTTTTTCCCTAAAACATCTTTATTTCGAATATCTAACACCTAAGAGTAGCTTTAACTATAACCTTTTATATATATATTTGTGGTGTTATTGTCGAGATATTTATTTATGGTGGGTCACCCTACCTTAGATAGGAAAGAAAAGAAATATGAGGTTATGTAGAAGGATTGTGTTTCTACGTGGAAAGGGGACCGAGAAGACATTAATCACAGACCAAAACATTCCATCAAAATTATTATAAGTCGAAAATCTGGTGTAATGTAGCCCGAGAAGAATGTTTTTGAAAAAATTGAATTTTTTTCTATGTCCATATTGTGGATTCTTGTGGTTAAAATAACACACAAAAGCACCCAATCTGTAATTCCGACAATATTTTCGTATTCATACAAACAAACGTCTTTCATTTTCTTACGTCAGTAAAAACAATTATTGGTTTTCTTTCCAACTTGATGCACATATTCGATTTGTAGTTCAGCCTCACATTGACATTACCCAGTTGAGCATAAAATTGAAAATAAATTGACGCCTAACACACCCGAGAATGCGTTGATCATATTCCCATAAAATATCTATTATTTCTAAATATGTCTTTGATAAGATCTGTACCTGGATCAAATATCTCGGAGTATGGAGCATAAATTTTGGGTAAATGTGCCGATTTCTTTTTGGTAAATGTGCCTCTCTAGGAAATGAAATGGGGTTTAACGTCCTACCGTTCAGCACAAAATTGGCTAATGAAGACGGGCATGCGCCCTACAGTGTGCTATGAGCGTAATTTTGCCTGGGCCAGTTTAAAGCCAGTTTAAGAATTTATATTATCACATTGCAATCCTATAACAAAATGTTTCCATTCCGTAACAACATTAGCCGTTACAGAAATGACTGTTACAGGACTGACATTACGATGCTAAATTTTTATACGCCCACATTGATATGTGGTCGTGGTCGTATATTGTCGTCGCCCCCGTCGGTCCGTCCGTCCGTCCGTCCGGCGTCCGCAATTGCATATGGACGCTCTAGAGGCTAAGATAATATCCGATTGACTTTAAATTTATGCACAGTGTATAAGGTCATAAGACGAAGAAGCCCATTGATTTTCACGGATTTCCGATAATTACTGCCAGAGTTATGGCCCTTGATCACTTTGAAAATCTTATGGACGCTCTATTTCAGGTCTTATTCGCTCTAAGTGTGGAAAGAATAAAGAAATTAATATAATGTACGAAGATCTCCCAATGAGTGATTTCAACTCTTTACATAAAAGAATTCACGGTTTGTCAGTATTTTGTTTTTAAATTCCTACTATTTATAGACTTATATAAAGAAATTTTGTTCATTAAATGTTTATGCATAGGTAGCACCCTGGGTATTGGAGATCCATATCGATTTGGGACATTTATATGAAAACGGGTACTATCTAATTTTGATGGTATGTGGATTTTTATGATCACTTGTGATATATATGTCATCACTATATATAGCCTTCGTTTTTTAGAAATCCGTTTGTATATACAGATATTACTTTAATACTTTGGGTGCTACTGACCGTGATTTTTTCAAGATATCAATTATAGCATAATTTGATCAAATCTATAACATATCTATCGTTGTGGGTCAAGTTTTGCAATACTTTGGGCGATAGTGACAAACAAAAAGGGTTGTGTCTGTGTATCTTTCTCTGACAATCCAATTACTTGCCTCTGTAAATATTTTTACACATTTTCATCAATATTGTATTGTCGCAAAGATGGTTCATATTGATTTGGGGCAATTTTGTACAGTAGTTCCAGAGTTCTTGTTCCTGACTGACTGTTGTTCAACGTATACTACAGAATTTTTTATTACTGTAGTCGTACTCATACCTGAGAGTAAAGTTCTTAGCCGGCTAGGTTTAACCATGGACCGTATAATATACACGGTTCACGGTCCACGGTCCATGGTTTAATTGTTATTATGATCGACTCTATCAAAACTCATACCTTCTCTTCTAGACCATGAACATGTTTATATTATGAGACCTTTAATAATGGGTCTGTTCGCTATTTTAGGTATAATACCCAATCCTAGATCATATCTTCTGGATCATGAAAATGTTTATGTGACATCTACAGGAACCAATTTTTACAAGCAGTGTTTTCCTTCCAATTCTGTAGATCTAGCCTTGTCTTTTACAGCAACACATTGGTTATCAAAGTATGTTATAGTCGTACCATTATAATAACTTTGTTGAATTTAATGTTTTATCATTTTTGATCATTCGATTCCATCTAGTTGAATCTCACTGTACACAAAAAGACCCCACCCTTTAAGAATTGCATTGAACATATTTCGCATTTTTAGCATTTGGCGAATGGTTATATCATAAGGTTTGGCATTGAGTCAATTAGCGTGGTTTCGATTCCCCGATTGTACGGGACAAAGAGTATGATCGCCTGGCCAACTTTGTTGATTATCTACGGGTCCCCGGTGTCCTCCCACTGCTAAAGACCGCTACGCGCCAGCGAATTATTGACATAAAATTAAACCATATGTTAGTCCCGAAATGACCTAGTTTGTGTCAAATGGACGTTACCCCCCCCCCCCCGCTCTCTTTCTTAACATACATAACTATTTGAACTATTTGTTTACAATATTTTATCTCCATGTGACAATTTTAACATTTTAATAAACAAAATTATCTCTCAAAACAATCCAATGTTTTATTTTAGTAAAGTGGATATATTTGATCATGTATATCCTTATTTTACTCAAAATAAAGATGAAATAGACGCCCTAGAGAAACAGGCGGCAGATGATTGGGTGCTATTCCTAACAAAAAGAACAAAAGAGCTGAAACCAGGTAAATGTTTTTCGTTAATCAATAAAATCATTAGGTGGGGGGGGGGGGCTAATTGGTGATTGTCAGGAATTAATGGTCAAGTTGTACTCGATATATGAAAAATGTTGCATGCCGTATACATGTAATGTCAGGCACTATAGTCGGGCATGTAGTGTCATCGCCGGGGGATACCGTTTACCGTCTTAATATTCCTCTCCAAATGTATATATTGAGCAGTTTCGTATTCCATATTTTAAAAAAGGACGAAATGCCTTCATTAGATATTGCCCTCATTATGTTGTGTTTGGATCAATATTTTAATTTCTATTTTCTTCAGAAAATGTCTACATTTGATATACCTTGATATACTTGATAGATTTGATATAGTTGCCTTCGCAGTAGAACTTGGATATGTCCGCGCCCCGTTTCTACCAGGCCGATCCACTATATATCTACAAATCTGAATACGCACCACCCAAGAAACATATTTACAATTTTGTTTTTGAAATCGCTTCATTTAGCTATCAGTGCATGACGGGTGTCGACAGAGTATGCTTTCTTGAATACCCGATACCGTTTGAACAGTTTACCCCCACCCCTGATTAGCAAAGCCCTCTGCCCGACACAATTAAACCCCTAAGAATAGGGTTGGGCCAATATGCAACATTTTTGAAAAATGAAAATCGCCCGGGTGTTTCTATGGCGAAATTGACCGAATAACACGAATCCGGAAGAATTTTGCCCGAAAAAGTGCTCTTTAGATTGGTGCAGGCCCATTTTTCAAAATGGCGGCCAAAATGGCGTCAAAATCGATATTCTTTGCATATGCTGTACATAATCACTTCTAATATCCACTGTAGGGTGTCTTTTATAGGGTTTTTTGGGTCAGAGAATCCATATCTGCAATTATAATTGATCTCAGGAAATCCAATATGGCGGAAATCCAATATGGCGTCCAAAATGGCGCAAAAAATCAACAATTCTCACCTTAGCATTGCGAAAACACCCCTACCATCAACTAAAGGTATCCTCTGTGAGCTTTCTGGGGTTAGCGAATCCGAGCCTGCAATTACTGATCACGCTCGAAAATCCAGTATGACGGAAATCCAAGATGGCGGGCGAAAGCGCCAGAAATTCCTATATTTCAAACGCACGGTACGGAATAGCGTGTCATTATAGCTGTGTGGTGTCCTCAGCAGGATTTTGTGGTTCGCGAATCTGAATCTACACTTTTTCGACAGGTCCGATGATCCGATTTGTTGGAAATGCAAGATGGCAGTCTCTCGATGTGTTGGAAGGTGCCTGAGGGCACCACAATTCCAATCAATATGGAGTTAACGCAAATGCTTTGTTTCGCCATCGTCGAAACAAAGCACCGATGGCGAAACAATGCAACTGTGTTAACTCCATATTGATTGGAATTGTGCCTAAGGATACCGGTTTTCAAGAATCCGCCAGAGGATGTGCATTTTCCATCGAAATTTGATTCTATGTATTTATTGGTAATTTTGCATTGACTATGACGTCATAATTACTTGAGGTACAGTGTGCCGGCATAGTAACGTGACGTAGGTAATTTTCCGCCATCTTGCTCGTTGAATTTATTCCTAATGACGCCTGTTTGGATGGTGAGCTCTGTGGTTTTCCCGGAAGTTTTATAGCCTAGTTAGCGAGTGATTCAGCATGGAGTTGAGAAGTTCTCTAATAAAAAAGGAATTTTGGGGGACCAGCTATTGTCAGGAAGAGGCATTCGTCCGTAAAAGTAAATTACAAACAGGTATGTTTGCGATTGGACGTATGCTCTACTTGTGTAGAAGAGAAAAAGGCCATTGTCACATTAGCCACGAGGCAGCAAGTGAAGTGGTCGCGAGTGAATTTATTACAGACTGGGTGGAGAAAAACGTGTACCCGATGTCGGAGCGTGCCGTGGCAAAAAAGAATTCAAGGAGTTGATAAAAGAAGGAAAGCGAGAAGATTGACGCACCGCATATTCGGAGGCTTGGCTGGCGAAGGCAGAGGAATTTCATCTACTCATGACTGCTCATGCATATGATATACGGTGCAAAAATAAACAATATGAAATGGAATCAAGTGCAAAATATGGAATCAAAATGACAAATGAAGACGAAGCCTTCTATCAGGATAATTGCCATGGAAAATACGTGGTTACATGTCAAAACACTGTGTCTTCGAAATGGCTGAAAAGTATGAGTAGAAAAGAAGATCGAGAGAACGCAATGCATGGACAGTTGGACAGATCAGTATAAAGGATGAGATACAGGAGAATATTCAGAAACAGCTTCTCGATGAATCGTTCCATGAAATCACTGATAACCTCTCAGGTATGACGTATGCACCTGACTGCCAACACACGAATACTGATCAACATGATGAATACAAATTTCCTGAAGTAAAGGTGAGAATGGGTAAAAAAACATTCTACGAACCCTTGATTCGTGCCCTAGTTCAATGTCATGCTTCAGCCAACATATCCCTAAATGAGCTTTTGAAAATCGCACATGTATTCGGCAATATTGTGTTCAAGCAAAATTGGGTCCTGAGAGCAGATAGTGCTGATGATTCAGACGATGATGACGAACACATGGACGAGAGACCGCCAATGAAGAAGAGAAAACGTCAGCCAGATTTGGAGAATGTGCTGCCCAGCAGGCGGGCTTTGGGTAGGTACCTCGAAGATGCAACTCATCTCAATCTCGAGTTTTGGGCGGAGAAATTGAAAAGTAAAGAATGTGTAGTTACACTGGGCATAGATGACACCACGAAGGCTGCCGGTCACAGAAAATTCGAGTTTTTGGCGGAGAAATTGAAAAGTAAAGAATGTGTAGTTACACTAGGCATAGATGACACCACGAAGGCTGCCGGTCACAGAAAATTCGATGTAAAGACTACACACTTCACCCTAATCAATCCAGAGAACAATAGTAAATCGTTCTATACGACAGGATATACCGAAAATATAACCCATAGTGGAAATGACAGCGCAGAAGCAATAAAATATGAGCTTAGGAGGCTAGCTACTCTGGGCAATGTCACTGAAGATGAAATCGCCAGTATGATTGATTTTGTAATGACCGACTGCGCTAGTGATAACAATGTTCTAACAGAGAAACTGAATCTTGAAGCTGAAAACTTGAAATGTTCTGCCCACATAGTCTTGGGTATAGATCATAGCGTTGAAAAGGTTTTTAAAGAGGTCGAATGTAAAATTGGAATGGACAAACTGATCAATTGCGGAAATATTCTTCGTTCAGCATCGAGTGTATTTACTATGGGTCTCATAGCAATTACAAAACTCTTATCACCAAGTTACGCGAATCACTCTGTTTCATTGTACAACGACTTCACATTGTGGTGTTAAGAGTGTGGACGCGATCTACGAGGGTTCCGTGGATTTACTTCAAACCGGATCGGTCGAATTGCGGAGCTGTCGAGGTCCTACCTACGTCTTAAAGATGACATCAGAGCCTTTTTCGACAGTGTTGTCGATGACAAGGCGAACAAGCTCGTGTTGGCTGTCGCTACCTTCATATACTCGGACTGGTTCAACTGCTGCAGCGAAGTATATTCTCTCATGGGTGAAATCATCATTTTTCCTATCATGGATATACTCGGGATCGACGGCCGTGGTGATAGTCAGTGGTAGCGACCAATCGTTTCTTATTGGACTCAAGTTTCGTGGAGAAGAGCGATGATGAGAGGAGAGCAATTTGGAAGAAATCGAGGAAAGGACCTGATGTACAAGAGGCGAAGAAACTCGAACGAGACTTTCTGGCCACCGTGAACGCCACTCGTTCAATGTCACTCAAGCGTAAGGAAGATGAGAAAAAGAAGAAAATACAGAAAACTCAACAAATTCTTGCTGAATGCAAAAAACATGGTGGTCCAGTTACTCCGGATTCTGTAAGCGTTTTGGACGACCTAACAGAACGACAACTCTTGTCTGAAGTTTGTTATCTCAGGCACACTATTGCACCTGATATCAGACAGAAGAGAGGAGTTAGAGTCGATGGCAAGCTCAGATTCCAAAAGTTTACAATATCGGAACTAAAAAGAGCAATACTCGGTGTTATAAAACCAGACAGTGATGTTAGCGATGCTGTCGATGAACTGCTTAAGATGGCACTATGTGGGAAGCTTGTTTGAATGTAGTTTTAATTCATTTGCAGACGTGATAGCGAAAGCAATAATGGACCATTGCACGTACAGATATGAACATTCTCATGGTAATTCGGGTGACGATTCAGGGTCCCCAGATTATCAGTAATGTAAGGTTAGAGAAAAAGGCATATGATCTGGCCTACTCTGAACATCTGCGTTGTAACGAAAAAATATGATATTAACTGACTGAACTGTACTGGATATAAATCATAATAATATAATAATTAGTACTTAATTATATATGATATAATTAGAAAATACTTTTTTTTTAGATTACTGGAGATTTCCTTTATCTCGACGGGTGATTTTGCTTGTGTTCCGTAGGATTCCTCCCGTCATTCTGAATTTCTGGCATATTGGATCATCAGACATGTCCAATAATTGCAGATTCGGATTCGCCGACTCCAAAAACCTTATTAGGGACACCATACCTCGACCACGGCATGCGATTACGCTCTGCGCGTTCGGAATATAGGAGTTTCGGGCACCATTTTGGCCGCCATCTTGGATTTCCGCCATATTGGATTTTTCCGAAGTGGTTTCATATCGAAACTTGAATTTGCTGACCCCAAAAATCGCAGAAAAGACGCCATACAGTGGATAACGGGAGTGTTTTCACACCGCTAAGGTGAGAATTGTTGATTTTGGCGCCATTTTGGACGCCATATTGGATTTCCGCCATATTGGATTTCCGCCATATTGGATTTTCGGAGATGAATTATTATTGAAGATATGAATTCTCTGACCCCAAAAACCCTTTAAAAGACACCCTACAGTGGATATTAGAAGTGATTATGTACAGTATATGCAAAGAATATCGATTTTGACGCCATTTTGAAAAATGGGCCTGCACCAATCTAAAGAGCACTTTTTCGGGCAAAATTCTTCCGGATTCGTGTTATTCGGTCATTTTCGCCATAGAAACACCCGGGCGATTTTCATTTTTCAAAAATGTTGCATATTGGCCCAACCCTACTAAGAATCACCGAACCCCACTTCACTTCATAACTCCAGACTAAGAAAGCTAACTTTTGAACTTCATTAGTTCAAAGTTTGGACATGTTTCACACATTACTACGAATATCTTATTTATTGTAGGTGGTTGGGGTGTTTTTTCAACATTAGGGACAAGAGACGCCACAGAGGGGAAGCCAGCCTTTGTTGCGGGTCAGGATATTTTAAACAAGCTTAATGAAGTTTGGAACCGTTTATTTTCTCGCGGCATAATAACAAAGGTATTGTCTATGGTAATCATGAACGCCGTCACGCGAAAATTTTATAGAACAAAAACAAATTGTCGTGACGTACAGCCACGATGGGACGAAAAACCGAGTGATATCCATATTTTAAAACCTTTTTATGTAGGCCGAGTTAAAACGAGGTACACTAGGATTTTGTTTGCGAAGCCCACGTCAGATAGAAGAACCAATCCTAGATTCAATAGAAATACAGAATGGTGGGTTGAAACTTCATGAAATCAGATTAGATACAATTCCCTATTTCCTCGAGGCAGAATGGAACGAAATGTTTAGGCAAGGTAAATACACTACTGTTGTCTCCCTTGACTAATTTAAATTTTCAGTCTCTTGAAAGGGCCTAACCTCTTTGATTTGACAAGCAAAAGAAAAAATCGATTATTTCTAAAAGAAAATTGCTTTTTTACATACATGTAGGCGTACGAGTAAAGGGTGTAGGGTGCCGCATAACTTTTGGACAATCTACTTTTTGCGACATTTTTCGGGCATCGATTATACAGCCTCAACAGTTTGATCGGATGATTGGAATTCAGGTCGGCGTAGAGTGGATTTCGGTTGTAAATCTATTGGACAACATTGAAGTTAATTGACTCACGCACTAAAATAGTAGGAAAACGCATTTGCGGCGTTTAAATTTTCCAAATTGTCTCGGCGTTCCGTGCACTGATCAATTGATTGGTTGTTTGGAATTCAGGTCAATCAAGTTAGTTTACATTGAACCACATAAAAGTAGCTGTATTCACGGGCGGGAAGAGAAGTAAAAATTTCCAAAATTTCTTGGGGGGGGGGGAGGAGGCTACAGGTAAGCTCTGAGATTTCAGTGCTCGCTGTCGATTGGCGTCGCCATCTTTAAACGGCAATCTTTTCGGGCATTTCGGGATATCAATCCCCAACAATCCTCGGACCCATACGTTTATGTTTATTTACAGACGTAAAATTGGAAGTCGTGGCGTAAATAAATTACAAAACTGGAATTCGCAACAAACGCCTTTACTGTGGCTGATTTAGGACATGCAAAAACAAAAAAAACCATACACATACACACTCCATCCCAAGTGCAACGTCACCACAATATTTCCCATTATATCTACCCCTATCCCAAGTTAAGGAGTGAGTAATCTGGGATGTGGGAGGGGTTGTCGCCCTCATCTACGAAGATTTACACCCTATTGATCCAATATGCTTAATAGTATTTTGACATCATCCAGGGGCGGATCCAGAAGGAGGGTTTGTGATAACAAAATTAATGCTTTGCATCAATAAAATTGAATCACAATGTCATCGTATTAATTCATAATAAAAATTGACGTCAAACAGGGTGTTGGATTTCTCTGTTTAAAAAGCTCAATGTGTATGTATATATGACGATAGAGACCATGTATTTCTCAAAATATTTCAAGCCGAAGGGGTGGGGGGACACATTTTCTCATGAACCTGGTAAATCCCCTCCTGCAAAAATTCCTGGATCCGCCCCTGATCTTCTCTGCTAACGGAAAATCCAGCCAAAAGTTGCAGATATAAGTACTATTTCTGACAGGCAATTGCGACGCATACTACGTCTGAATAATCTGTAAAGAAATAAATATCCTTCTGATGTAATAGACTTCGCTGACTTTATTAATAAAATCTTGGGTGGCTCTTGTAACCGACTTAGTTATCGAATGATGCACATTAAATGTGCTGGATTTTGGCTGGATGACCTGGCGCCTGGTACGTTCGGGCATTTTTATGCGCGAACTCTTAGGGTTTTTTTTACTGGCATGCGCACAGGTACTATTTCTTTTTCTTTTAACAAGTACCCAAATCGGGGATTTCGTGCGGAGGTAGTTCGGAGGTAAACAGTCTGTGAAGTACAACAGTTGCCACTGTAGCTGTGTATCGCTAATTATAAACCGAATGTGTGAAGACAGTTCATACATATCACTCAAAAATTTTTCAGTACAAACTCAGTTGATTCACGCTCGATTTGCTACTAAACAAACCCATCGGTTTATTTTCTCAACAGTGTGACCCGAAGTGACCGCGGATTTATTGACCTTGTATGAACTTATCCATAGCTATATCCTTACACCGAGAGAAATTATCTAGTCTCGGTGAAAAGAACCATGGTCATCTGGTAGAAAATTACTTTTGTATTTTTTGGAACGGAAAACAGTGTTTTTAGAAGCAAACTAACCTGCCGCACATGAGGAAGTCATTATACTAATAATAAAAGGCGAGACCTCTTTTTGCGGCGCAGGCTTATCACTGAGTAGTAAACCGTCCACAAACAATAATATAGGAAGCCTAGTGACCAGTGTAGTACTGTAAGTAGGCTATAGACTATAGGTTTGAGTCGAGATTACTCGCTTTCAGTTTACTCTGTTTTTGCGATAACCAATTATGTGAGAAATACCATACTGACATTCGGTTTTTAAAAGTTGTACGCGAACTAAATGCGTTTGTTAGATACTGACAGAGCAGCCCCGAGTCGAACAATCGCCGCCCGAGCTGTCTTCGTCAGCTAGTTTCACAATATCGTGCAATAGGTGTATTAATGTGATTTTTAGGTTTAACCCCGCAAACAATGCCAAAATAGTGTTTTCACTGCTTACAGAAAACTGAAATTTAAAAAAAAAAGATTTTATGAGGGTGACCCTCCCACACACTCCCTATCGAGCTGCCGCTCGGTCTGCGCAGCCTCATGCCTGGCACAAACTGTCAACATTGTATATTTTTCCGTTTCCGCCCCCCCCCACAATATATATTTCACGGCTACGTTGCGACGGTACCAGCATACCCAGTTGTTGACACCCATTACATCACTCCTGTCTAACAAATCATAAAGCTGTGGTGTTACGGTGGCGGCATAGTATTTCACCGTAACACCACAGCCACTCTAACCATTCATAATACATCTAACTATCCCTTTACAGCACTTCACTCCCTACACATTTCCCCTCGTCCTACTTTCCCAAACGTCAACAACACATCTCATACATCCAGTTCGCTGATTAACCCTTGTACCACGTCTACTGGATGATCTGGCGCCTGGTACGTTCGGGCATTTTTATGCGCGAACTCTTAGTTTTTTTTACTGGCATGCGCACAGGTACTATTTCTTTTTCTTTTAACAAGTACCCAAATCGGGGATTTCGTGCGGAGGTTGTTCGGAGGTAAACAGTCTGTGAAGTACAACACTTGCCACTGTACCTGTGTATCGCTAATTATAAACCGAATGTGTGAAGACAGTTCATACATATCACTCAAAAATTTTTCAGTACAAACTCAGTTGATTCACGCTCGATTTGCTACTAAACAAACCCATCGGTTTATTTTCTCAACAGTGTGACCCGAAGTGACCGCGGATTTATTGACCTTGTATGAACTTATCCATAGCTATATCCTTACACCGAGAGAAATTATCTAGTCTCGGTGAAAAGAACCATGGTCATCTGGTAGAAAATTACTTTTATATTTTTTGGAACGGAAAACAGTGTTTTTAGAAGCAAACTAACCTGCCGCACATGAGGAAGTCATTATACTAATAATAAAAGGCGAGACCTCTTTTTGCGGCGCAGGCTTATCACTGAGTAGTAAACCGTCCACAAACAATAATATAGGAAGCCTAGTGACGAGTGTAGTAAGTAGGCTATAGACTATAGGTTTGAGTCGAGAAAACGTCTGAATACGGCACCCCCTGACTTAAACATGATACACATTGTATAGACCTATTGCACGTTCATGGCATGTCAAAGGTTAATCGGGGATAGATGATAAAAACACCAATCGAAGCGACTATAAATCAAAACACGGTTGATTCAACACGACTTCATTGGTTATTCAATACGTCGTTAACCCCGAATAACCTTTCACACGTCCAATCACAATATCGTACAATAGGTGTATTAATGTGATTTTTAGGTTTAACCCCGCAAACAATGCCAAAATAGTGTTTTCACTGCTTACAGAAAACTGAAATTTAAAAAAAAAATTTTTTATGAGGGTGACCCTCCCACACACTCCCTATCGAGCTGCCGCTCGGTCTGCGCAGCCTCATGCCTGGCACATACTGTCAACATTGTATATTTTTCCGTTTCCGCCCTCCCCCCCCCCATAATATATATTGCACGGCTACGTTGCGACGGTACCAGCATACCCAGTTGTTGACACCCATTACATCACTCCTGTCTAACAAATCATAAAGCTGTGGTGTTACGGTGGCGGCATAGTATTTCACCGTAACACCACAGCCACTCTAACCATTCATAATACATCTAACTATCCCTTTACAGCACTTCACTCCCTACACATTTCCCCTCGTCCTACTTTCCCAAACGTCAACAACACATCTCATACATCCAGTTCGCTGATTAACCCTTGTACCACGTCTACTGGATTTTCCATTAGCAGAGAGAATGTCAGAATACTATTAGGCATTTTGGATCAACAAAGTATACATTTTCGTAGACGAGGGTGAATAATCTGCCAAACATATTCTGCTCGAGGTCCTAATTTTATCTGGCATTTTGATTCCTACGACAAGTCACATACGCTCACACCCTGCAGGGAGCGAACCCATAACTATAATCCGGAATTGCTGGCAAGCTATGACTTCCTTAACTTGGAAGTGGGTAGACATAACAATAAATATTTCGTGGTGGCATTGAGCATGCGATCGAGTGTAACACTCTCTTAGCGATAACAGAGATCAGTTTAGTAAACATATGATTAATTTACATCAGGTGTACAACACATCTACATACAAAATAATACAGGAACTTAAACTAATATACAGGAAATAAACTACGACAGGAACACATATAACTATATTAAATCCACCATCTGCCCCTCTGCCAAGCGAGCGGCGGAACTCGGGTGAGTCCATACGCCGGTCTCTGCGTCTCTCCTCCTCTCCTCCCGTCTTTAGTCGTCTGCCTAACTGTCAGTAAACTCCTGATTATATAGCGCCGGAAGAATAGATAAGACACATGAACATACATGCAATTGTCTCTGTATCACGTCATGGTATGCTTACTGACCAGTGCATATGCTTTTGAAGTCATGTGGATCTTGTACACAGATCATATGTAGTTTGTAAATGACATATGGGATTAATTACATGTTTAATTAGATCATAGCCAGTCCGTGCCTTAACAGACGTTTACACAGAATTGAAACGCCATACAGATCTAAGCACCTAAATGACCGTTCAATTTGATAAAAGTTGTAGAGTACTTTGTCACACGGGTGTGTGTGTGGGGTGGGGGATGGGTTGTAAAAATGAACAAATGAATATCTTCGTTCTGCAAGTTTATCCTTAAATAATGCACACAATTATACAGCTTAAAGTTACAATTTCATATTTTCTAAGAAAGTCAAAACATAATTATTTGTATGTCTTTTACTCAATAGGTTGTCAACTCACTATTATACGATCATAGGTTATCTTTCTCACACTTAAAAATCTTTACACCGGAAATAATAACACAATTACCTCCCAATTACATCCCCTGTTTTCCCATTCCCCCACCATGAAATAGCTATCTTCAAACGTTTGAATTTGAAGTTGAAAATGATATTTTTGCCAATTTCTCAACTGGCAATAGTGAATTATAGGATTAATAGAATTATTCTTTAACAAAGTAGGACTGTTTATAGATACCATCTATTTTAGGGCTTTATTTTAATACATTTTAAAAATATCACTTAAAAATATGAAATTGTAACTTTAAAGCATCGGCTGAGACCTGTTCGAATGTATTATCCCGAGCACTCGACTTAATTATCTCAAGCGCTCGACTTGGTATCTTGAGCGCTAGAGATATTATTTTTTTTGTATGTCCTAAATTAGCAACCACCGCGCGCCTTAGATCTTTTTGACTCCTTCAGTTTTAGAACGATGTATTTTTCTTTTTCATCTACAGGCAATAAAGAAAGAGAGGCCTTCGCGCGCGATTTTTTGAAATACTTAAAAACACCATTTTATAGTACCTTTTATGAAGCCCTTGAAGGTCAACGGAACGAAGAGCAGAAACTCCAGATTTGTGAATTATTATTTAAAGAAGCAAGGGATTTTTTTTTGTCAAAATACCCAAGTGAATTTGATATCGATTATATTGTCACAACTACGTATGTCTTTAAGGAATAAATATTATTTTTGTTCTGGAAATGAATTATGATTATTTTTTTTTAACTCATTTATTAGTTATTAGTATTTGATATTACACACACGGGGAATAGACGACCATCGGTGGAATTCCTGGGGATGGCTGATTTGTCACCGAGCCGCGCTCTCGAGATTTTACGCCTTCACGTCTCTCGACCGAGGACTATGCGGGCTTTAGTGCGTAGTGAGTCCGACAGGCCGTCTGGATACCTATCGTCAGTCGAGAGGACGGTACGATTGTCAGTCTTGGAATTTGACACAAATAAGGGGAAAAGTTGACCGGCGTTACCCGAAAAGTGGAATTTCTCGAGCGAGACGGTTGGTGTTCACAGTGCCGCAAACTTGAGATTTTACCCAGGCCGTTGTCTTTTCGAAGCGGGATATCGTTTAAGCAGTCTCGCATGATCCGATACTACATGGAAATACGGGGCTAGACCAGCTTACTGTTGTGTCTTAAGTCACTCGATCGAGATACTTTCGAAAAAATAAAATCGACGGATGTCCTTTCCCAGCCACCGTTTCTCACTTATAGTTTATTTACTAAAATATATCTGGGACATTCCCTTTAAAGTAGCAGAATTCGTTAATGAAAATTAAAACTTTATTTCCTATATTAAGATATATTATTATGTTTATTGTATTTACACATCAAAAATAAACCAAGAATGGATACATCCATAATGGCGCTTCGAGTTAGATTACAAATACGATCGTGATTTTCGCCATTGCTTGAAGGTAGTGTTCTATTTTTAGCTTATATTGATTTGACGTCATCGGTTGTGAATAGAGTGTATCTGTTTATAATCTTTGTTTAGTAGGTAATCAATAGCTATATTTGTTATCTACACATGACCATGGTATACATACAATAATATGTGTTTAACTATGACCTTCGGTTCATTTACGTAAAAACATGTCGACTTTTTTGTCTGGGTTCATAATTTTTAAAACAAATAAGCTCAGCGATTGTGTCGGTTATCAACACGTGGTTTGTTGCGCAAGTGACAGATGAATACACAGTGGAGAAATGACAGGATATAAATGGACTTATTATAGCCATGTACGTAAGAATTTATTTATTTATTTAGATTTATTTGAACGAGCAAGTAGACGTTTCACAGGTTTGTGTTAATGGAAGAAAACAATTGATAGTAGTACGTATTAAAGGAGTCCTTAGTAACAGTTACCATTGAGTAGTCAGACATGACACGCTATATATAGTATAGTATGACATATCTGTATATATATATTTGGTAATTATTACTAGGTTTAAAAGTTTAAAAGACGAGCCGTATATAAACGTAGGTATTATTGGATTAAATGTGCGTGGAAGCCGAACTTAAAACTCAATTTGTTATTGTAACATCTGAAGGCATCCTTTGAAGAGCAAATAATTAGCTTATTATGGATTGTTGTATATGGAAATGACGAAGTAAAAGTGGTTGGTCTCTTTTTTATTTTGGGTGTATTATTTTATTTACAGACAGGCCTGAAGGATTAATGTCGCTAAAGTTGTGAATCGAAAAAGGTACGGGGGTAAAAATTGTTTCTTAATTATAAAATCTGTTTTAACATAACTAGAGAGAGAGATAGAGAGAGCGAGAGAGAGAGAGAGAGGGGGGTTTACGTCCACTCGACACAAACTAGGTCATTTCGGGACTAACATATGGTTTAATTTTATTTCAATAATTCGCTTGCGCGTAGGGATCTTTAGCAGTGGGAGGAAACCGGAGGACCCGGAGAAAACACACGAGGTTGGACAGGCGACCCTAGTCCTTGTCACGTACAACCGGGGATTCGAAACCACACCAGTTGACTCAATGACAGGCCTTATGATACAGCACGCACGTGCTAACCATTCGACCCCCCCCCCCCCAACATAACTATAGAAATGGCAAGTGGTATATGGTGCTCTATAACGAGGAAGTGGACATCCGTGCGACAGTTTGAAGTTCTTGGGCTTGGATCCTTTATGTACGTGTATCCGTGATGTAGAATGATTCGAATTGATGCATATACTGTGACCAGATTTTTGATCAAAAAAGTTTAGCGTGCTGTGTTGCACAATTTCTTTTCGCGGCATAGATTCATTTGATATGGATGGAGACGACACTTGGAAACCACTTTCTGGTTACGTCATGACGGAGATGTGGTACATGTGTACGCTACGATCACGCGTCACGCTATACGTGTACATGAAAACACTCAAACCCATTATTGGATTACACGCACCATACAATGCGCAGAGTGCACGATACACTACGCACACCTTAAAATTAAATGACACTAACTGGACCATGTTTTGAACGTCCCCACTCCCCCACACGTCTGCTTTTGTCATCCTGCCACAGCTCAGCTGTAACTACCTGTTTATTTTTTAGCTGCAGTAAGTTAAGAAACCGGGTACAGTACTGGACCATATTCTAAACGTCCCCCACTCCCCACATGACTGCTTTTGTCATCCTGCCACAGCTCAGCTGGAGCTACCTGTTGTTTTAGTTGTAGGTTAGGAAACCGGGTATTTCTTTTTTCAACACTGGTTTTGCAATACTACGTGGGTCGTGTCATGATAGCTTGGAAATCCTTAAGGTGCGTCGGAAACAAACTTTTACTCTATTTCGATGCAAACAAATCGGATCCCCTTTGTTGTTTGTGGGTACTAATACATCAATAGCGGTTTATGTTACTAACTTTTAAATTCAATTGTCTAATGTCAAGTTTAATGTGTCGAAAATACAATAAATCAACAAAATATTAAGAATCTTTAACGTACCGTGGACACAGGTGTGGATGACGTCTTGACAGAATTTCGCCCACTCTAAGGGAGAGAGAGAGAGAGAAAAATGGCGTTTAACGTCCACTATACACAAACGAGGTCATTTCGGGACCAACACATGGTTCAATTTGCGCCTAGGGGTCTTTAGCAGTTTAGGAAACCGGTGGACCCGCAGAAAATCCACGATGTTGGACAGGCGACCCCACTCCTTGTCACGTACTGCCGGAGAATCGAAACCACGCCAGTTGACTCAATGACAGACCTTATGATACAGAGCGCACGTGCTAACCATTCGCCCCCCGCCCCAACCTCCCTACCTCCCCACACTCTTAAGCAAAATGTAAATGATTGGACAGTAATATCTTTTGTAACAGATCTATATATTTAAACATATATTATGTAAGAGCTAAATCTGAATATTGCAGGTCTTTATTTAGGTCTGAAATGTTATCTAAATTATTAATTAGACATTAATTAACTTATCTAGACCATAATCAATTCTCTGTGCCATCGCTAGCCAAAGATATATAGCGGACTGGAATACATTTTTAGAATAATAATTAGACGTAAAAATGGATAATCGAAACTTCGTTTTTATCGTACCGACTTTAGTTATGATGGTCGTGGCTAGCCTAAAATTCAAAAGCTAATATCTCGGTTCAGAGTGGAGCAATTTAACCGGAATTTTCATCATATTCTATTTACGTTATCTATTCCTTTAACTATTATAGCGAGAACTGTCAACTCTTTATCTAATTTCCCCATAATGCCCCTTTAATAATACGCCAGTACTGAGAGCTATGATTTTGGAAGAAAAACGAAATGAGGATTAACGACATATTTTCTACAGCAACCGGGATAACGATGACGGGCACACGTCCGGCCTTGTGCTATGCGGGGAGTTTTGCCCGTACATCGGCGGTACATCTTACACTTATTTTAATTTCCTCCTGGAAAATCACGAGGACCTTTCTTTAGTAAACACCGGGATCAAACCCGAGAACTGATGGTTGGTGCGCCAGCGACATAGTCCCCGTGCAGCCATATGCAAAAGTACAACAAAAGCTATACCTATTGTGAATATAAACTTTGCCCGAACAAGGAAGACACTGAATATAAACTTACATAGGTGAAACATTATCGAAGATAACCGGTCAAACTATGAACTTTTGTTTTGTCCTCTCAAAATTACACGGAAATAAAAACATAAATCCGCCATTATTTCTTATCTAATCACTGTAAAAATTTGTTAAGGAAGTTATTTGGAAAGAAAGGGCTTGGATACAAAAATACATTACTATGACAAGTCTATTATGATTCGGGGGGCAAGGTGAGGTCAAATTTAAAGGTTCATTCCTGGTTCATTTAACCTTAGGTTAACCGTTGTATTAATATTATTTTACCACAGGCTTAGAGACAATACTATTTGGATTTAATAAACATAGAGGAATCAGGTTTAAACTTCTACTTCTCTGCTAAAACGAACTAACGAAGATAGACATAAGCTATTTAGCTCCTCAGTACATAGAAAATAGGATGTCTTTATTCGCAACCCAATAGGTACTTTTGCGAAATGCAGATATGTCATTATATTTCCTAGATTTGATAAACTCACACTCACTCGGCAAACCTCGGTGGACTCGGATACCCTACATCTAGAGCCTTGGCCGTGTGACGGTAAGTGATATGTACCTAGACACTCATACAATTGTTATGCGGCTCCCGGTTTACTTATTAGGAAAACTTACCGATTTTAGAAAGAAGTTCTCAAAATTACGTCATTCGAAGAGCATGTAGAGTTTTCATTGCAAAATTGTCCTTTGTTTAAAGAAAATCGAATAGTTTGAAAGAAAAACAGCTTCATACATTGAAAGCTAAAACACACTTCACATGCGTCTTCATGGGCGCCACCATTTGTAACCCTGGACTGGAATTCGTCATACAGCCGAGGCTAAATGTAGGGTACTGGAGTCTGCAGAGGTTTGCCGAATGACTCACACTATCATGTTTGTGGTCATTACCGATTGTTAAGAAATTCTGAGCCGTATTTCTGAACGACGAGACTGCGGTAGTCGAGTGGGCGTTCTTGGAGAAGAATCTCGGGATTTTTCTAGCTTGGTTCCCACTTGGCTGGCTGGAAAGTAAGGTGTTGCCCACTCGTTCGGGACAAAAACCCGAATTCAACCTTGGTGCACAAAATTGAATTTCCGACCGTTGGAATTCAACGAAGAAAGTCCCGCTGCAGACGTTTCCTCTCTAACAATGCATCCGTGATAAAAGAAATGAAAGAGGGAGAGGGAGAAATGAGGTTTAACGTCCACTCGACACAAACTAGGTCATTTCGGGACTAACATATGGTTTAATTTTATTTCAATAATTCGCTTGCGCGTAGGGTTCTTTAGCAGTGGGAGGAAACCAGATGACCCGGAGAATACCCACGAGGTTGGATAGGCGACCCTACTCCTTGTCACGTGCAACCGGGGATTCGAAACCACGCCAGTTGACTCAGTGACAGGCCTTATGATACAGCACGCACGTGCTAACCATTCGGCCATCCAACCCCCTTAAAAGAAATGAAGCAGTTATATTGGTCGCAAAATGATCTAAATATTATTGTTGACGAGACCTTGCTGATTAGCGTTTGTTACAGAAATGAAATGTTTTTTTAAACTTCCTACTGCACCGACTGGGCTAATAAAGATGGATATACGCCATGCCGTGTGCTATGAGGGAAACTTTGCCCGGACATCGGCGCTAAGGCCTACTCTTATTTCGAATTTCAACTTTTAAGGGTTCATTTACGTGCACGCCAATATGTTCACGAGACCTCGGGTTTTCGTCCCGTCCGAACGACTATACGTTATTCCTTTCCGGGTCCTTGGTTATACACCACTGACAAGGGAGACCCGCGCTGGAAAATCCCGATATTTATATTAGTCCGCCAATTATAAGAGCCTGACAGTTCATCTGATCCGACTTTGCAGAAATGGAATTACAATTCCTGTCTTAAAGCTCGGATGCTCTAGTAGAATGTATAGTATTGATCCAATAAACTACAGCTCGTGTATACACTGGTAACTACTAACTACAGTAAAATAACGCAACCCAGCTGGTATTATCAAATATTTAAAACGTAAAATCAATATCCACTACCACATTCCATCTTCCACGAGCCAAACACATTATTGTTTTGTCTATCTTAATGTGAACTTTGACCTATTTCAGAAACAGCAATGACATTATGAGGAGAGGATGTGGGAAAATCATCATGGGCCTTTGTTATTCTGCGGAATCGCTGGTGGAGGCATGTGAGAATCTGGACGCAGAAGCAATTCAAAGACTTGTGGACGAAGGACATAATGTGAATCAAGTGACGTTCGAATGGGAAGGTACGTGCCATCTGTCGAGCTGCCTTCACGTGTGTCTCTCTGTACAAATTCGTCAAAAGCATAAAAAGTATCGCCAGAGATGTTTGGAAATTCTTCTCCAGGAGGGAGCTGATCCAAATCAAAGAAATCACCGGGGTGAGACGCCTATCATGATCGCTGAATCTTTTAACGACGTTGATAGTATTCAACAATTGATAGACGCTGGTGGGGATGTTAAAAAGTTGAGTTACAACGGTAAAACTGCTCTTTTCAATGCCATCCTTAATGGTAGGGTTCAAACTGCTGAAGTGCTTCTTCGCGCGGGTGCCGATATTAATGAAAAGTTTCCCGGTTATAAAGGATTTATCTTGCAAGCAGCTAAACAGGGCAATACTTCAGTGCTGCGTTACCTTATCAAAGCCGGCTGTGATATAAATCAAACATGTGGCGAAAGAGGAGCATCAGCTCTGCATCATTCCATATTATCAGGACGAAATGTACTGGAAGTTTTGCAAGTGTTGATAGATGAAGGCATCGATATAAATATAATGGACAATGCTGGAGATCGCCCCATACACTGGGCAATGTTTGTGAAGGACAAAGCAGTCGTCAGATTTCTGTTGGCTCAAAATGCTGACATCAATTCTCTAACCATGAGCAACCAATCCATTTTAGACAATATTTATTGTTTAGGTTTAACTGGGTTTATGAAAGATTGTGGATATATGGCTGGTTTTTCAAAAGGTCGCAATATAGTTTTTAAATCGCTGCCATCTTTAACATCATGCTGTAGAAAGACAATCAGACGTCAAATAGGATGTAATGCGGATGAGAAAATTGTGTTTTTACCATTACCTAACTATCTTAAACAGTATTTACAACTTACAGATGTGCCCTGATGTGTGACAAGATAATGCTTGCTCTTTCGAGAACAACTGATAACACTTTTTATTTACGCAATTGAGAAATTAACTTTATTTTTTGACACTATTGCACTTCAGAAAAAAAGAATTCTTAAAAACTGTTATCAGTGATATAGCGTTCATTTATTTAATCTAGTCTAAACTTGTATCCGATAATTAGAAGTGAAATGAAATGGGGTTTAAATTCATACTTTTCTGTCCTCCCATCCAGGGCTAATGAAGAAAATTAGAACCTACAAATAAATCTATAGCAAAATGTAACGTGCTGATTTGTTTGTTTGATCAATATCTGGATCCGGGTTATTTACACCCAAGAAATTAGATAGTGTTAGCGTAGCCACGGTGGCTAGGTGGTTAAGACGCTGGCTGGCTAGCCTGAGGTCGGGTGTTCGATCCCTGCATTGGCCGGTGAAAGTTCATCTGGATTTTCCGGCGTGGTTTCCCCTTGTCAGTGGTGCAGAACGGAGGGCCTGACAAGGAACCTTTGGATGAGACGAAAAACAGAGGTCCCGTGTATACATTGGAATGCACGTAAAAGATCCCTTGGCAGTTGGAATTCGATATAAGAGTAGGCGATAGAGCCGCTGCCCGGGCAAAATTTCCCTCATAGCCAGCTGTTTGGCGTATGCCCGTCTTCATTAGCCCAGTTTAGGAGCAGAACAGTAGGAAGTTAAACCCCATTTCATTTCATTTCTATTTATTTGTTCCATCTAATGACAACGGGCAAATACCATGCAGTGTACTATGTGGGAGATTTTTCGAATTTTACTTATAAAGGGTCCCTTTACGTGCTCGCCAACGTGTTCACGGGGGTCGGTCATCATTACTCAAGTCAGTACGATAAACAGCATAGTCTCGATTATCCATTTAATCGTTTAATAGAGGAGGAAAGTTATGCAGTAAATCGGCTTACAATCCACTAAAGATCGCAGGCTAGCGGTGCCATCTAGAGTTGATTATGGTCCGGATAGGTTAATTAATGTCTAATTAATAATTTAGATAAGATTTCAGGCCTAAAGAAAGACCTGAAATAGGCAGATTTAGCTCTTGCATAATGTATGTTTAAATTAGACGGCTATATAGACGTTGCCCCTGGACAAGACCCCCACCCCCACCCACGTGGTTACCACTGACCACTGGAATCCACGCTGGAAAACTCCCGATGAACTTTCTTGGCCAACACCGGGATCGAACCACCACGGCTCCCTATTTCGGTTCTATATTTACAGTTTTGGGTGTCCTTACATGCAATCCGATTCTGGATACTTGTGTCGAAACAAAATGGCGACCCTTTATGAGTCAAAGTCAAAGAACACATAAGGTCTCTCTCCTTAAATCAAATTCGGATTCAGAAAACTGTTTTTTTTGTATTTGAACCTGAAAAGAAGTCCACACTAGGTATCAAAATCCACCCTAATTCTATTTTGCCGTTGGCTACATTAGATGAATGGTTAATTGCAGCAAGTCTGAATGTAGATATATTGCATGTTTATTAACAATCCGCATATTTCGGGCAACAGATAAATAAACCAAAACCCGTGCCGTGAGGTGATGGGAGTTTCCAGATGTTAACAGCATGCGTTTAGATGGCCAATTCATATATCGAGAACTAATCATGAACAAATGTAGAAAACTGTTTACTGATGAACAGAACAGAAACCGGGGTGAATCTGGAATTGTTTTCGTTGCAATCAAAATCCTAACATTTAAAATGCTGTCTCACTATGGTAATCAATGGTTACAAAGCAATAATTACAATTTGCCATCAATTTTAAAAAAGGGCATTAAAATCAGCAGTGCCGCTTCTATAAATTAGTGCAGAAATAGTTAAAGGGAAATAACTCCTCAATAACTGAACGCTATTTTGGGATTCAAACCACTAATTATTTCGGGTTTCATAAAATATTTTATACCAGTTAGTTATCGAAGAAATATCTATCTCTATTTTATTCTCTTTTTGAAAGCCCGTTTTTCTTTCATTCTGAAGCGATGCCATCACCAGTAGGTAAAAAACGGTCAACGTGGGGAATTCCCGATGAAAATAACATTTCCAGATTTTTATAAGTTTAATTATGACATGTTTGGATGATTAGGTTAAACTCCATTGAACGTTGAAAAGGACTATAGGTCAGGATATTGCATGGCTTTAATATTGATGTCAGAAATGAGCGGAAGCCCTATAGTCCTGGACCCGGTTTCACAAGGCACTAGCAAGACTTTTACTGCAACTCTATTAAACTTACGTGTACCTAATAGTATGCACGCTTTGTAAGACGGAGGTCGGTTCAGTAAGCATATATCTGTTGCTTTCTAACTTCATTAAACCAGGTCAGATACTTCCAAAACAGGAAAATATTAGTATTCAATAAATAATAAAAGTGAGAAAAAACATTGCTACCGGTATTTATGTTATAATTAGAATGGGGGTTAATATCCACTCAATAGTATGGTATTTTTTCATTTCAATATAATTCGCTTGCAAGAAGGGGATTTTGGCAGTTTACGGCGTTAGGGAGGCGACAGACTTTGAACTGAAACTTTACTCAAAGACATCCCTTATGATTGAACGCGCACGTACGCGATGCACTGTGCGGCCGGCCAAACCACCAAAGGCTTAGCCAAATGGTGACTTTGAGGAAAGAAAGGAGGGTGGGTGGTAGATGATCAGAACGATAACCATATTCATTTATAAACCCTGAAAGGATTATATTACTAAATGCTGGATTTTTAATTCAATAAAACATCCAGATTGCCTGGTTTAAAACACCAGATTTATGACATAAAGCAGATGTAGGGTGGGTATTAGAAATACGAGAGAAATGTTAATATAATGGTAATTATCAACGCTGTCTGTAATATTACCGGATGGGGAATTCGACATTAAAACATGATTCCAGTTACTCCCTTCATTACCTGACGTCATTAGGAGCCACAGTGACTCGGTGAGTATGGCACTGGCTCAGTAACAAGGAGATCCCAGGTTCGATCCCGGCGTCCGAGAACTTCCTTTTGAGTTTTGAACGCGGATTCCACGAAAACCGAGGTCGTGCATGTAAAATTATCCTTGGCATATGGAATTCGACGAAGAGAACGGGCGATCGAGGTAAAATTCCACTCGTAGCATACTGCGTGACGTATCCCGTTTTCTTTAGGCCAGTTGGTGCAAAAAAGTAGGATGTTAAGTTAGAAACGTTGTATTTAATACACCAGTGTTGTAGTACAACAAAAACAGTTTAGTTATGTGAACTGCCCAGACAAGAAGTGACACCAGTTAAATTACATACTGTTGGACAATATGATATATGTTTCAATCTCCCTTATTTCACATATTTATGTCGATTTGTATTTTATCCATTTATATTCTCGGAGAAATTAAAAATTGTTGTATAAAGAGGCATATCACCAAATGAATTTCATGTCAACTGGTATTAAAGTAGCTAAGTCTCTAACTCAATATCACCCAAAGTCTTCGACATTGAAAACACGAATTATTTGTCAATTTAAATCAACATTGATGTTGTGATCTTACCGGGAAAAGATGAGCTTCTGATATCCAATATTTAAGACAAAATAAACATTTTACCATTGGTACACGAATCGTGTAACATAATACCGTTTAGCCCCATTTGTAACAAGGGACTCAAAGAACGAGGCTAGACATATTCCACAAGTCTGAAGAGCATGCGCATGAAATAGTATCGGTGTAGAGTGGAATAACCATACGCTAGAATTGACATTCGATTGAGACTTCTGGCGTATTTCGGCGAACATAACCGATTTTAAATTAGAGTAAAATTAGCCCCTTTAAGTATATTGGACGTACTGTTAGTTTCCAAACAAGGCACCATCCGTCTTCATTAGCCCAGTCGGAACAGAACAATAGGACGTTAAACCCCGTATCATTTCATCTCCTAATAATTTACCTAATAATTATAAAAATTCTACCATATAAGTATGTAAAACGTCCACGTGTCTAGTTTTATATCATATCAATCTTTAGAACTTATTATTTAATGGGGAAAAAAATCAACAAAAAAAAAAAAATTCAGAAACATTTTCAGATGGATGAATTAATGTGAAACAAATACCCTGTGAGAAAATCCCATTTACGATGCTTATAACGGTCTTCAATATCAGCACGAAGTCGATCAACATTCTCAGCGCAATTTCTTACTTTAAGACATTTTCTTGAGCGTGTCTGGGGAAGAAAGCTAATCGAGTATAAGAAAAACTTTCTCTCCTGCTAATGGTGGTAAAGGATATTTATTATTTCTGGCTTGACAATACTAGCACCTGCCTATCTCATACGTACACATATAGTAGTCTTAGCCAATTTAACAATAGACTCCACTGATCGATCGAAGGGTTTAAAGGAAAACGCGCTTCTCGCATTGATACGCACAGCAGTTGAAAGACCTCTTAAGAACCAGCTATACTGGTGTTATGAAAACACGCTGAGAGATGGGGAAAAGTGGAGTACGACAGACCATGTGCCCTGTTTACAGTGTTAAAACATTTTCAGAGCAAATATTTATAATGTCATTCATTGATACCAGCAGCCAATGAAAAACCAGAACTGGATTAAGGTATTACACGTCATATTAATCATCAATCGTTTAAAAAAAAAATCGTCTTTTTCCATGCGTGTATGAGAACACACGTTACATAGCGATCGTATTGATAGAAATACGCAGTCAGAGATGGAGTTTGTCTTAAAAACTAACGTGGCTTTGTTTAGCTGTGGCTATAGTATTTATTATTGATAGCGTACCGTGGTCCGTATACAGCTGTCACTGAGTAAGGATGTGTCATAATGATGTGTGGTATAAATGTAAAACGTTCCAGTATACATAGATAGGTATATATATACAAAGGTAACTTTATCGATCGATATGACCAGGTAATGGTTGGCCTACAGCAGGAACTATTGTTATTTCTATTACGGCAATTTGACACGTTATACAGTTGGACCCGAACTGGTAAGCAGGAATTACAATTATAGTGTGTACATAAAAATGTATCAAATTTATATACCGAACGTTGACTGACCGATTGTACTGCAGGAACTAATATTATAGTTATGCGCCGTGGCCTGTACAGGGCC